CCAAGATGGATGAGGTCTGGGGCTGGTATGAATGAATCCAGACCCGAGAAGCCATAGACGAAGGTCGAGGAGCCCAATCAGCAAGAGCTTCGTGATGGCAGAGGGCTGCCAGTCGTCACAAGATCCGGAGCCGACGTAGCGAAGTCGAGCCAGACCATGCTGTAGGCCGACGGTAACTCGCCCAAGCGTGCAAAGCAAGTGAGAAGGAGAGGGCTGCCAGGATGAACGGAATCGAAGACAGACAAAAACGATCCCGAACAAGTCATGCCAGAAGCAGACAAACTCGAGCCTAGCCACACACAGCTGTGTGGCGGCGGTAGAGGTCCAAGCTGGGCAGAGTCCAGCACTAGCAAACTCGAACCTGGGCGGGTCATGCCAGAGGCAGAAAGCGGCAAGTCCATGCAAAATGGACCATGCAAGGATAGCAGTAGGCCTGAGTGCAGGAAATCCGAGACCGGAAGAGACAACTCTGGCCGAACAACGCCGTACACTGGCAAGGACGAGTCCAGCCGACATGAGCTGTGAAGAGGAGGCAGTGGGCCCGGATGAAAGAAATCTGGCACGAAAAGCGACGAATCTGAGCAGGTCATGCCAGAAACAAGCAAAGAGAAACCAGACCTTATGGAGCCATGGGTCAACAAAGATGGTTCAACATTGGCATGATCTGGCAGCAACAGCAGAAGGCCAGGTCTGGTCAGGCCATACACCAGCATCAAGGAGCCCGATCACAAGGAGGTTTGCGATGGAGTAGACGACTCAAGATGCAGGTGATCCGAAGTCGGCATCGGTGTGCCCAATCAGCTCATGCCGTAAGTCAGCGTCGAAGGCTCCGGGCAGAGGTGGCTGCGCAGAGACATGCTCGGGCCCGGGTGGATGAGGTCAGGGATCGGCAGGATCGGGCCCAACCGTGTCATGCCAGATGCAGGCAATGAAAGTCCAAGTCGGGCAAGGCCCCTCAACAGCAGCAGCAGCCCCAAGCTGATGAGGTCTGGCACTGGCGCTGAAGGACCGGGCCTCGTAATACCGTAAGCAAGTGTCGAAGGGCCGAAGCGTGCCAGCGTTCGGGGAAGCAAGGAAGGGTCTGAGTGCGCAGGGTCAGGGGGCAGCAGTGGTAAACCCAGGCGTAGCAGACCATAGACGGACGGCAAGCTGCCCGACTGCGCAGGGGCATGCAGCAGTGTGGAGGAGCCAAAGGTTACGAAGTCCGATGCCAGCAAAAGCGACCCAGGGAGGGAACAGCCAGAAGCAAGCAAGGTGAAGTCGGAGCAAGCGGATGCCCTGAGCGGAGGCAAACTGCCGGAGGACACAGGGTCCGGAACAGGAATGGAAAAGTCCAATTGCGACAAACCGTAGACGAGCAGCACAAGCCCGATCCACACAGAGCTGTGCACCAACAGCAAGGACCCGAGATGGACGAAGTCTGGTGCCAGGGACGAAGAATCGAGCCGTGAAAGGCCATATGCAAGAAGAGCACTTTCCGTTTAGCAGAAGGCCCTTAAAGACAACGAGCTGCCCAGGCCAACAAAGTCCAGGACCAACGACAGGCTCCCAGGCTGAGACAAACCGTACGCCGGCGAAGCCAATCCCGAT